CTGACGATCACATTAACTGACGATCACATTAACTGACGATCACATTAACTGACGATCACATTAACTGACGATCACATTAACTGACGATCACATTAACTGACGATCACATTAACTGACGATCACATTAACTGACGATCACATTAACTGACGATCACATTAACTGACGATCACATTAACTGACGATCACATTAACTGACGATCACATTAACTGACGATCACCCTGAAGAACACATTCTGCATTTTTAGGGTGAGTCGTGATAAGGAAGGGGGGGGGGGGTGACAATGGTAAAAGTGGAGTGAAAGACAGGGTAGACCGAGATGCTACTAACAGTTTGGGATCGTGCTTTGGAAGAACATATGTATCAGAAATGACTGAAAGTCACAAGGCTGTGGTCATACATGACTACACAAGCAAAGATCACACAAGAATACAAAGAAAGTAGAGTAGTGCTACCTGGCCAAATACTGCCAGCTCACGGTAGCCCAGAGGCACCAACAGCATAAGGACCTCGCGCTAACCTATGGAAGACCACGACCAAAAATGTCTATACACTTCTTTTTCTTCTTCGCGTTCACCGGCTGTAAACTTCGGCGACAGTTTTGGTTGTTCGTTACCTTTTGGACTTTAGTATTGATCCAGAACTTAAGTTTTGCAGGTACATCCGTTTTACATGTCTGGCTTTTGGATTGCAGACTGTTAGTTTCTAGCCTCTTAGGGCAGATGCACCCCAATTTTGAAGGAACCAGCTAAGAGTCGCCTACTAAACATACTAGCAGAACTGAACATACAAGCAGAACTGAACATACTAGCAGAACTGAACATACTAGCAGAACTGAACATACAAGCAGAACTGAACATACTAGCAGAACTGAACATACTAGCAGAACTGAACATACAAGCAGAACTGAACATACTAGCAGAGCTGAACATACTAGCAGAACTGAACATACTAGCAGAACTGAACATACTAGCAGAACTGAAGATACTAGCAGAACTGAAGATACTAGTTGAACTGAAGATACTAGTTGAACTGAAGATTCTAGCAGAACTGAACATACTAGCAGAACTGAACATACTAGCAGAACTGAACATACTAGCAGAACTGAACATACTAGCAGAGCTGAAGATACTAGCAGAGCTGAACATACTAGCAGAACTGAAATTACTAGCAGAACTGAACATACTAGCAGAACTGAACATACTAGCAGTACTGAACATACTAGCAGAACTGAACATATTAGAAGAGCTGGAGATACTAGCAGAGCTGTGACACTAGTATCAAGGTGCCAATGTCAGAGAATCGGCATCCTGTACCCGGTTTATCATATATGGCTTAAACTTCATATATGGCTCAAACTAGCAGAACTGAAGATACTAGAAGAGCTGAACATACTAGCAGAACTGAAGATACTAGCAGAACTGAACATACTAGCAGAACTGAAGATACTAGCAGAACTGAACATACTAGCAGAGCTGAACATACTAGCAGAACTGAACATACTAGCAGAACTGAACATACTAGCAGAGCTGAACATACTAGCAGAACTGAACATACTAGCAGAACTGAACATACTAGCAGAACTGAACATACTAGCAGAACTGAACATACTAGCAGAACTGAACATACTAGCAGAACTGAACATACTAGCAGAACTGAACATACTAGCAGAACTGAACATACTAGCAGAACTGAACATACTAGCAGAACTGAACATACTAGCAGAACTGAACATACTAGCAGAACTGAACATACTAGCAGAACTGAACATACTAGCAGAGCTGAACATACTAGCATAACTGAACATACTAGCAGAACTGAACATACTAGCAGAACTGAACATACTAGCAGAACTGAACATACTAGCAGAACTGAACATACTAGCAGAACTGAACATACTAGCAGAACTGAACATACTAGCATAACTGAACATACTAGCAGAACTGAACATACTAGCAGAACTGAACATACTAGCAGAACTGAACATACTAGCAGAACTGAACATACTAGCAGAACTGAAGATACTAGCAGAACTGAAGATACTAGCAGAACTGAAGATACTAGCAGAACTGAAGATACTAGCAGAACTGAAGATACTAGCAGAACTGAAGATACTAGCAGAACTGAAGATACTAGCAGAACTGAAGATACTAGCAGAACTGAAGATACTAGCAGAACTGAACATACTAGCATAACTGAACATACTAGCAGAACTGAACATACTAGCAGAACTGAACATACTAGCAGAACTGAACATACTAGCAGAACTGAACATACTAGCAGAACTGAAGATACTAGCAGAACTGAACATACTAGCAGAACTGAAGATACTAGCAGAACTGAACATACTAGCAGAACTGAACATACTAGCAGAGCTGAAGATACTAGCAGAACTGAAGATACTAGCAGAACTGAACATACTAGCAGAGCTGAAGATACTAGCAGAACTGAAGATACTAGCAGAACTGAAGATACTAGCAGAACTGAAGATAATAGCAGAACTGAAGATACTAGCAGAACTGAAGATAATAGCAGAACTGAAGATACTAGCAGAACTGAAGATACTAGCAGAACTGAAGATACTAGCAGAACTGAAGATACTAGCAGAACTGAAGATACTAGCAGAACTGAACATACTAGCATAACTGAACATACTAGCAGAACTGAAGATACTAGCAGAACTGAAGATACTAGCAGAACTGAAGATACTAGCAGAACTGAAGATACTAGCAGAACTGAAGATACTAGCAGAACTGAAGATACTAGCAGAACTGAAGATACTAGCAGAACTGAAGATACTAGCAGAACTGAAGATACTAGCAGAACTGAAGATACTAGCAGAACTGAAGATACTAGCAGAACTGAAGATACTAGCAGAACTGAAGATACTAGCAGAACTGAAGATACTAGCAGAACTGAAGATACTAGCAGAACTGAACATACTAGCATAACTGAACATACTAGCAGAACTGAACATACTAGCAGAACTGAACATACTAGCAGAACTGAACATACTAGCAGAACTGAACATACTAGCAGAACTGAAGATACTAGCAGAACTGAACATACTAGCAGAACTGAAGATACTAGCAGAACTGAACATACTAGCAGAACTGAACATACTAGCAGAGCTGAAGATACTAGCAGAACTGAAGATACTAGCAGAACTGAACATACTAGCAGAGCTGAAGATACTAGCAGAACTGAAGATACTAGCAGAACTGAAGATACTAGCAGAACTGAAGATAATAGCAGAACTGAAGATACTAGCAGAATTGAAGATAATAGCAGAACTGAAGATACTAGCAGAACTGAAGATACTAGCAGAACTGAAGATACTAGCAGAGCTGAACATACAAGCAGAACTAAACATACAAGCAGAACTGAACATACTAGTAGAACTGAACATACTAGCAGAACTGAACATACTAGCAGAGCTGAACATACTAGCAGCACTGAACATACTAGAAGAACTGAACATACTAGCAGAGCTGAAGATACTAGCAGCACTGAACATACTAGCAGAGCTGAAGATACTAGCAGCACTGAACATACTAGAAGAACTGAACATACTAGCAGAACTGAACATACTAGCAGAACTGAACAGACTAGCAGAGCTAAACATACTAGCAGAGCTAAACATACTAGCAGAACTGAAGATACTAGCAGAACTGAACATACTAGCAGAACTGAACATACTAGCAGAACTGAACATACTAGAAGAGCTGGAGATACTAGCAGAGCTGTGACATTAGTATCAAGGTGCCAATGTCAGAGAATCGGCATCCTGTACCCGGTTTATCATATATGGCTCAAACTTTCTCCACTACCCGTCAGCCGAGAGCGCTGCATAAAGCACGAATTCTTTAGCTCCGGTGATGATCCCACAGATCTTCGAAAATGCACTCCTCAACCGAACCACGCAGACCGAAACCGAGAGTAAGACTTTTGGGGTACGAGGCAGAAACACTGGAAACTTTTGGGGTACGAGACAAACACTGGTAACTTTTGGGGTACGAGGCAGAAACACTGGAAACTTTTGGGGTTCGAGACAAACACTGGAAACTTTTGGGGTACGAGACAAACACTGGAAACTTTTGGGGTACGAGACAAACACTGGAAACTGTTGGGGTACGAGACAAACACTGGAAACTTTTGGGGTACGAGACAAACACTGGAAACTTTTGGGGTACGAGACAAACACTGGAAACTTTTGGGGTACGAGACAAACACTGGAAACTTTTGGGGTTCGAGACAGAAACACTGGAAACTTTTGGGGTACGAGAGAACCCCCCCCCCCTCCTTCCCCCCCCCCCCCATTACAAAAGGATATGCATCCTACTTGATAAGGGATTTTTCTCAAGGTTGTTAAGTAACACCACCTTCCCCCCCCCCCCCGACCTCTGTATAGATGCAATTTTTAACTATGTGTTATATTTCACATTATTTTAAATAGATTTATTTCCCATTTAGCGCATAATAATGATAATTATAATTATAATAATAATTGTAATAAACATTATTTTTGTGCGCCTAAACAAAGTATTATTCCGTTAACAGCTAGCTCCCACCCAACCACTAAGGATTTCTTTGTGGTGACGCCGCTGGTACGATGGTAAACAACTTGACCACTTCAGAAGCTGAATAAAGAATGTGAAGTCATGGGAGCCGACCACGGCCTCGCTTGTGCACCAGAGACGGGCTTAGTTTCCGAATAAAACTTTTAAACTTGTTTTGTCCCTATCCTACCCCCCCCCCCCCCCCCCCCCCCCCCCGTACACAACGATTTGCCCTCTCGTCGACACACATACCAAAGAAGCCGCTGTTTCTAGCAGACGATATACCTTGTATTGGCCAGCACTGCCAGTCTATCCTGATCTAAGCCAGACAAGATTTCAGCGATTATTTGATCTATTTTTGTGTCTGCCTAACATGCTATTTTACTGACAGGAGACAATCATACACAACAGACATCATTCACTTTCAGAACAGCGTACTCACCTTCAGTAATCTGCGCACTAGAAACTCCGTGTACAATCAACATGTTTTAACAAACCGCCCACACTTTAATAATCCAGATCACAGTGAAGGTTGTGCATGACGAGATGAGAAACTGAGGACAATCATCCACACGCACACAAGAAACAATTTGTCAGTGGCTGACTGGCTATTCTAAAATAATGCCGCTCCCGTCTTGGTCCCGATATGAGAAAGTCCTAGTCACAACACACGAGCCCTAAACTACACGGACGGGGATGGTTTTTCTCGCTAACACCGCTAGACCGAAACCTTTTCCACGATTGTCGGACAATAGACTCGGCGCTAAACACGCGCCGTAGTCGGTCCAATAAATGCAGTAGGTTTCGATTCCTACACGGCTCAATTCTTTCACTGTGTTTATCGTACAATTGCTTTCACTCTACACAACCCGCAGTTGGTTTTTCTGCAAAACAATTTAACTGGCTTTTTACTATTTACACCGGGTCACGACTATCCGCCATAGGGCTCGTTGTTGCGCCGTTACGGGAAAAGTAGCCGGAGCCTGGGGGCCAAGTTGCTTGAGGGCCCCCCCCCCCCCCCCCAGAATGGTGTACCGTTCTTTTAGACCTTCTTCAACATTGCACATAAATTGTCTCTAATAGTATGATATGTGTTTACATGTTTCATATTTGTGAAAGTATGCTACTATTTTTAATTTTCCGTTTAGCATATTCATAATAATTTATAAGTAGTTGCGGATCCTTTACAGGACGTTGCAGAACCAACGCCAAAAATTTTGTTGGCTGTTGTGGTTTTTCTGAACACATTTTACGTTCAGTAGTTTGCCATTGCTTCCTAAACGATTAGATCTCGGTACCACTGTCGAAATCAACGCAAGACCAACCGCCCGCAGCTGGGATCGAACCAGGCACCCCAGTATTACATAGCGCGTTCGCAACGCCTATGCCACAGATGTCGACTTCATAATAATAATAATAATAACAGTAACAATGGATGATTGGCAAATAAATATAACGATATAGTTCAGTGTGAAATGGATGACAGAAATTATTTTAAAGAGTATTTGTTCAGACATTACATATAATTTTAACTTTGTTATTGTGTTTCATTTGCCATTCAGCATATTGATAACGACAATAATAATAATAATAATAATAATAATAATAATAATAATAATAATAATAATAATAATAACAATAATAATAATAATGTGCTCAATATACTTGAAGTCAAATAAAACAGGTAGAGAATGACTTTAAAATTTAATTTCTAAACTTGGCAACAGAGGGCAAATTAACACCCTTGCCAAACTACGACTACTTGGGGTGGGGGAGGGGTACGGGGTGGGTGCTCCAGTGCCTCTCCCTTCATTTCCTTTGTGTAGGGGCACTCAAGGACCTGGATGCCCCTACCCCTACTAGTTATTTACCGAAAAATTGTAAAACGATGAGGATGGCGTTGTTATCGAGGCCCATTTTTTGTGTGGGTCGGGGGGGGGGCGGTTTGAGAACCCCTTTACCCAGTGGTATAATTGGTGAGACGGCTGTGATTGAACACATGGGAGCATATAACAACCCCCCCCCCCTCCCCCGCCCCCAATATTTTTGTTCATAATTTTTTAGCAATAAAATTAGAGAGGCGTAGGGTTTTAGAAGAAAGACCAGCACCATCCCCCCCCCCCCTCCCACACACACACTTTTGTCCAAACCGCTCCTGGTTATTGGTGCCCTGATTATAATTTTCCTTAGAGTTCGTGTTATGAATGATGAGTTGGGTTATCTTCCCAACACTGCGGACACTTCAATACACAGTGTCCTTTAGTCAATGACGGCGGTTCAGGTTAACAAGACTTCTTATACAGCGATTGTGCCTGTCATGCTTGACTGCGCTAATTTGTACTCCCAATTCTCACATTGTTAACAGTGACGTGGACATGCTGTTCAAAAACCCTCAAGGCGTCCTTTTCTCAAAGAACATCAACAATGTAGGCGCCATCCATTGACCGACAATCTGTGACAAAGGCATAACCCGCCAGTTTACCACCTCGTTCATTGCCAACAACACCCGCATGCGCTTGGACAAAGATGAAGGTAACACCACTGTCTGCGTACGGAGCCTGCCTCGGCCCGCCGGATCCCACAGCACACACACACATGTGTGTGAATATTCCTGTGACTACAGACACGTGAAATCTCATGTCGTCTCCATCGCCATGGTGTTGGTAGTCATATAGAAGGCTTCCTAGACCGATCTGCCCGTAGACTGAGCTATGAATGCCCATGCACTCTTGAGTCCTCGTACAACGGATTTATCTGTGTAGATCTGCACATCTGCCTCATCTGATTTGTCACTGATAAGCCGGTGGGTCTTGGCGTTGACAGCAACATAATTGTACTGCCGACTTCTATAAAGCGTGACGATACAGGAGAAGGTCAACGGGGTATCTGGGCCTATCCTTATGGTCTGCCATCAACTCTGAGAGTATTTGGTCACATAATGTCAAACTTTCGGGTCCTGTTGGTCTGCCATCAACTCTGAGAGTATTTGGTCACATGATGTCAAACTTTCGGGTCCTGTTGGTCTGCCATCAACTCTGAGAGTATTTGGTCACATGATGTCAAACTTTCAGGTCCTGTTGGTCTGCCATCGAGAGTGAAATCTTCTCATCTCATAGTGTCAAACATTTCGGGCAGCAGCCCAGAGGAAATATACGGCATGCACCCGACTCTCCACCCCCCCCCCCCCCCCCCCTCGCCCCCATCCCCTCCACTCCGGTTGCATTGTAGCACCGAGCAATTGGTTTCACCGTAAACAAAGTTACTTTCAAGGTATACACAGTGCGGTTGCTTTTGCCAGACACATGATGCAGTTGGTTGCATCGTTGGCACTGTGCACGGCCTTCAACAAGGAACAATGTCAGCGGGCATTTAGTTCTCTCTGAATTATTGACCACTTCAACAGCTGTAAATGTTTGTCTGTGTTTGTGTCACTATATGTATGTATATGTAGAGGATTCAGGCTAACGGGGTAATGGCTCGCCTGGAAGAAGACCCGCACCAACCAGGTCAGATTGTTTCCTGCCTCGCCACGCGACGGGCCTAGCAAGCCGGTAGTGGTGTAATTATTTGCTACTACACAAGAACTATTGAATACATATAGGGCTACCAGCACTCGAGAGAAAGTTGGAATAAGTCCATGTTTGCATTATACTGACAGACAAAGACTGAAATGACAGTGCAGGATAGGAAAGTCAATCCTGAAGATTTAAGGCCGTGCAGGACAGGAAAATCAATCCTGAAGATTTAGGACCGTGCAGGATAGGAAAGTCAATCCTAAAGGCTTAGGCACTGTCCTAAAACTGCAGCATTGACTTTCCTATCCTGCACGGTTCACAATCTTCAGGATTGACTTTCCTATCCTGCACTGTCTTAAATCTTTAGGGTTGAATTTCCTATCCTGCACTGTCTTAAATCTTTAGGATTGACTTTCCTATCCTGCACTGTTCTAAATCTTCAGGGTTGACTTTCCTATTCTGCACTGTCCTAAATTTTCAGCATTTATTTTCCTATCCTGCCCGGCCCTAAATCTTCAGGATTGACTTTCCTATCCTGCACTGTCCTAAAACTGCAGCATTGACTTTCCTATCCTGCACGGTTCACAATCTTCAGGATTGACTTTCCTATCCTGCACTGTCTTAAATCTTTAGGGTTGAATTTCCTATCCTGCACTGTCTTAAATCTTTAGGATTGACTTTCCTATCCTGCACTGTTCTAAATCTTTAAGATTGACTTTCCTATCCTGCACTGTCCTAAAACTGCAGCATTGACTTTCCTATCCTGCACGGTTCACAATCTTCAGGATTGCCTTTCCTGTCCTGCACTGTCTTAAATCTTTAGGGTTGAATTTCCTATCCTGCACTGTCTTAAATCTTTAGGATTGACTTTCCTATCCTGCACTGTTCTAAATAAATTGAAAATAAATGCCTTAGAAGAATACTAAATTTCAAATGGTCAGATTTCCGAACCAATACACAAATAAGGCAAGAATCCAGGCAAGAGTATGTGTCTAATTTTATACGAAAACGCCGCTGGAACTATGTCGGCCACGTCCTTAGAATGGATAAATCAAGACTTCCTTACCAAGCCCTCATTTGGACACCACAGGGGAAAAGATCTCGTGGAAGACCAAGGGAAACCCTACGTAGAACTATCATCAGGGAAGGCTCGCTCATGGGCCACTCAAACATCCAAGACCTACAACGGATTGCAACGGACCGCCGTGCATGGAGAGTCACGACCTCTGCCCTATGTGCCGCACTCGACACAAGAGGAAAGACTAACTAACTGTTCTAAATCTTCAGGGTTGACTTTCCTATTCTGCACTGTCCTAAATCTTTAGGGCTGACTTTCCTATCCTGTACTGTCATAATTCTTCAGGATTGACTTTCCTATACTGCACTGTCCTAAATGTTCAGGGTTGACTTTCCTATCCTGCACTGTCATAAATCTTCAGGACTGACTTTCCTATCCTGCACTGTCCTAAATCTTTAGGATTGACTTTCCTATACTAAATCTTTTCCACCAGCCATGTAGCTTTAAACATTTTCCACCAGCCATGTAGCCTTAAATCTTTTCCACCAGCCAACCAGCCGTGTTGCCTTAAATCTTTTCCACCAGCCAACCAGCACTGTAGCCTTAAATCTATTCCACCAGCCATGTAGCCTTAAATCTTTTCCACCAGCCAACCAGCACTGTAGCCTTAAATCTTTTCCACCAGCCATGTAGCCTTAAATCTTTTCCACCAGCCATGTAGCCCTAAATCTTTTCCACCAGCCATGTAGCCTTAAATCTTCAGGATTGACTATCCTATCCTGCACGGCTATAAAACTTCAGGATTGACTTTCCTATCCTGCATTGTCCTCAATCTTTAGGATTGACTTGCATATCCTGCACTGTCCTAAATCTTCAGCATTGACTTTCCTATCCTGCACGGCCCTAAATCTTCAGGATTGACTTTCCTATCCTGCACTGCCCTAAATCTTCA